TTTGTTTTACTTTCATTTTATTTAATTCGTTTTAGTTTAGTTTATTTATCTCTATGTTTATCTTATTCTTTTTATTCATAATATTATATTGTCAGGAGAAGAGTTGTCAGTAAATTCTGGAACAAAGGTTTACTTTCCTTTCCTTTTCTTCTATTTACGTTTCTTTTCTTTTCAAATTCTATTCTATTTTTTTTCTTTTGTTTTGTTTTGGGGGTTTTTTAAAACTTCTTTTTTCTTTTTTCTTTCTTTTTTTTTTCTTTTTCTTTTGTTTTATCTTTTCTAGTTTTATTTTTAAAAATCTTATTTCGTTTTATTTTATTTATTTTAATTTGATTTAATTTAATTTAACTGCCGCATAGATCTATACAGTAAGTTGAGAAAGGTTGCAATTGTGAGATTGCGGGTTTGGGGGTTCGAGCCTCAGCTCGGTTCGACGTTGTGTCCGCCTTGGGAAGTCACTTTGCACGAATTTCCCCACTTGGCCTTGGGAAGTCACTTTGCACGAATTTCCCCACTTGGCCTTGGGAAGTCACGTTGCACGAATTTCCCCACTTGGCCTTGGGAAAGGCACTTTGCACGAATTTCCCCACTTGGCTCGGTCCTTTCGGAGACCGACATTAAACTAGGAGGTCCCCCCTCTCAATAAATAACCTAATATTGTTGCTAGACGCGTTAAACCCATACCATTTTTTGTGTGGAATTTTCAACGATTCAAGCGCCTGATTTTACCACGCTACCTCACAATTATGTATTGAAGTGTGTGGATGTGTGCATTTGCGTGTATGCGAGCTTGTATGTGCTTGTATGCATGCGTGTACGTGCGCGAGTGATTAAGCGTGACCAATGTATGCGGTGCATTGCATGGTGCTTCGCCGTCGTACGCAGAATCTGCGAGTTCGAATCCTGTGTGGAGAGGATTTTTATTTTTTGTTCATCTAGTATTTCACTTGTCTAGCTTGACCAGAGTGAAACAATGGTTCGGTTGAACAGGATCCGTGATGAAGCTTTGATCCTCTCAAGAATGGGACATCCCCAAAGTATGCATCAAACCTTGGTTGTACCATTCGTTTGAAAAGGCGTAAGCTCGAGCGTTCAAGTTACATAGATCTATCCTTCAATTTCTTGACAGTTCCATGGTTAATCTGTGTTAGTACTGGCACACTTATATAAATGACTTTCGTCCTAACACTCAAAACAAAAAGGCAGAGTTGAACACGTTCAAAGTAGCTTTATTCAAATCAACGTGGGAAAGTAAACAATGGATGGAATATGAAAAGATTTCGTAATACTAAAAAAGTATGCTGTAACCATAACCGGCAAATTTTGCGGCTTCAGGCATGCAAGTACGATTCATATGGAATTTGTCGCAAAATCTGAATTGATGTCAGATTTTCTCAATCAGATGGAGGTTCACATGATGGGCCGCATGCGTTTCTCTTTTAAAACAAGACTCCTAAAATTGTCAATTGCATACGAGTTTCAAGAATACATTTTATTCTGTTAAACACAGTTTATTATAATGTAACAATTTTACAAGAATAATGCAAAAACTAGAGCGAACCGAAGACATGGGCAGCTTAGTACCTGTAGGGTACTTGTACTTCTCAGCTACTTCTCTTCTGAGCATCTAACAGAAATCAAGCCTTGCTAACTAAACCGTGGAGATCCATTAACATTACCTCGAAAGAATTAACAATTGCCCTTTGGTTTCATAGTCCTAAATTAGGACTATTATCTGCATTGTCTTGAATTTAAGCTTGCATTTTAGCACACTATTATAATAAACTATGGAAATAATATATCTAAACTTTAGAAACCGTACGGTATGGGGAACTGCGATGTAGGGCATTATGCAAATATAGCACATTTGGTTAATAACTCTAGGTCTGCAAAGAATTTGATGCCGGCTTATTTATTTTTTAAAACTAATTTGGGGGCCTGAATTTGAAAATATCTACTCATTTGATTTAGTTAAAATTTAGACAGTTTTCTTAGTTTATATTTTCTTTAACCCACCAAAAGCACTTGAAGTAAGTAATTTTAGGCTGCAAATAAGTTTTAGTTTTATTATGCATTTTTATTAAAGTGGCTTCGGTTTCTGAGTTGAACGATACATGTTCCTCCATGGCTTCACTGCGACCATTCACTCTGCCTGGTTTAAACAATCCGGACAGTTTGTTTTCTGCTGAGAAATAAACCTATACTGCAAAAAGGAGAACAATTTTTAACTTTAAAATGTCTATCACTATAAAATGTTGAAATAATAATAGATAGCATTTGTATAGCGCATACCCCCGCTCAACAGCAGGCTCTATGCGCTTTACACTATGTTATTACCCCAGCAGACCATAGAGCCCTCCGAAACATTCTCAGCTTCCCGGGAAACATACAGTGCAAGCAGCCGATTAAGCGCTCAAACACTAACAAACTGACAAGATCTTTCGCTGTCTATAGCCGGGTACCCATTCCCACCTGGGTGAAGTGAGGAAAATTCGTGTAAAGTGCCTTTCCCAAGGACACAACGTCGGGCCCCTGACAGGATTCGAACCCACGACCTTACGGTTGCGAGTCCGAGAGCCTAACCACTAGGCTAAATGGAATAGGTTTAACAACCCTATCAACACAATTAGTTTATAAAGTGCCTGGTCCTAACAGCACATCTGTGTCCAGCCCAATTTCCATATGATTTGACAATTTTTGTTGCTAAACCTTTTCATTTTGACCAGTTAAGTGCTAAAGTCGGGGGAAAAAAAGGAAAAAAAAAAAGAAATAAAAGCAGCAGATAGCTGAAGGCAGGAGCCCTTCCACGTATGGGAGGATGCGACAGCAAAACAAAAGAACAAAAATCAAAGGCTGAAGACATACACGCACTCATGTAAATGTAAAGAGCCTACACTCATGTCAATAGATTTGGAAGGTTTAAAAAAAAAAAAAATCGAACACCCAGAGGCACAGATTCACTATAGATCTAATAACTTGTCCCCTTCCCGTACATAATGCGCACTTACGATCGCATGTACAGAAGTAGCAGCAGTGCAAAGCAATTACTTTAAGCAAGTAAAAATTCAAAGTCAAAGCACATTGATATGGAAAATAAATAGTATGTCAATTTTAATCCGAGTACCAAAATACAAGGCTTTTAGTGTAAAGGTTTAATAGTTCTCAAAAAGCAGATCACTCTGCCCCCCCCCCCCATACGCTAACACTATATTAGATCTAGTGGTATCAGAAATCAAATTTCTAAAAATTCCAAATTCCACTTTGAATAGTGTTAGAGATTTGGAAACCAAGAAAGAACCGTCTTTTCAAGTAATCCTGGCATGACATTTGCACTCCACTGTACTCTTGCTTTTCATCTTTAAACACAAGTTTCCACCGTTGCTTCCTGTTGATAAATACATAAAAAAATAAGATAAGCGAGCTTTGCCAATATGCTTTGAGTAAAGAGAAACACATCCACACAATAAAAGGTCACACAATAAAAGGTCATTTGGGGCTGGGAATAAGAGAAGACAGACAAAACCAACAGAGGGTGCCCAGTGGCATGCCTCATAGAGCTTCAAATTCAGCACTCCGTTGACCCACGGTTTTGGGTTCCCCCCAAGAAATTTCTTGGTTAGCTCATGAAACAAATCCCTAGGTTATGGTTTTAGCATAGTACCGTGCTTGCCATAAAGTGGTGTTGAGTTTAATGAGTCATTAATTACTAATGATTATATTGACAGCACATCTTTATATATGTCGCATATGCACGAAAATCGAGGTTTTTAGAATTCCTAGGCGAAACATGCTTTTAAACAATAAAGAGATTTGCCAATTAGATTCAGTGTAAAGAGGTCGACACGCGGTCCATTTGGTGTCCCCCAGACCATAGATCATTGTGGAGGTGGGCCGTTACGACCATGTCCAGACCCTACCTGGGCAGAGAACACAACCGGAAATGGGGAGAATTACTCGAGAAATACCTCTGTGCGTTCTTGTGCTCGTGCGTTCTTGTCCTATCAATTTTTTTTAGCATTGAAAACGTGCGAGTTCTTAAGCTTACTCTTTGTAAGAGTCTGGCCACACTGCAAGCAGAGCGGACAGAGCAGAGCAGAGCAAATGATTACAAAGACAAAGAGGTGACTGGAGGTCAGACCCGCCTCGAGTCGCACCGCCAGACACCTTTTGTCTTTGTATTAGTTTTCACTGCTCTGCCTGCAGTGTGGCCAGAGCCGTACGAATTGTTTTCACCGTTATTAAAAATGGAGATGCTGCATTAGGAGAGCATGTTTCAAAGGTACCCTCCAAACTGTCTATAAGAAACACATCTGCAGTTTCGTCATAATATTCAGTCTCCAATTGCTACACTGGAACCAACCCTCACCCCACCCTCCCTAAAAAATCCATTCCACACTACTTCCTATACCATAAAAAAGGGAGAACTTAAAAAAGTGCGACAAGGAAAGCAGCATCAAAACTTAAAAACCCAGACCAAAACAAAAGATTGATCTGCAACATGTAAACCCTCATTCATGTAGCTTAAGAACAACGTTTCCCCATCAAGTCTACCGTACAGAAATAACTGACCGTACAGAACCTGCTGGCCGTACCTGCACCCTTGGAGCATGATTACCAGCGAGAGGAATGTATGGCAATATCTGCGCAGCCGTAGAACTGTTCTTGTGGTCCACAGCCCACACAACAGTTGTTGTCCTCATCGCAACCCCAGCTGTTACCTGGAAATTGAATACGTTGAAACAACTGACGAATAGACCAGAGCTTGATTTTTGGATCATAAAAGCAGTCATTTTACAAAATGTTATCCCACAAATTTCCCTTCAGGCTCCTCAAGGTAGCACACTAAAGGCGTTAGTTTCATTTTAGAGAGGGGAGATTTATTCCAGAGAGGGTACATCTTAGACGATATGACCAGCTGGGATGTACCTCCCTCAGCCCGGATTTGTTTTGACAGATAAAACATCGACACTTCTAAATGATCTAAACAGTATTCATGTTGGTGTAAAGTATTTGCTCAATCTTACTTTCCAAAGTGATAAACAAAAGTACCTATACAGAAAACTATGAGATTTAAAACAAAAAAATCCAACAGTAACCGCATACTCGCATCTGAGGACGATTGGCAAATGTGAGACGTGCTGACAAAATGAGTTACTTATCAAAATCCACAAATGGAGATATTGGCCAAAAATCGACACCAGGGTCAAATTTGTAGATTTTCTATTGATGCCATAGTCTTTAAGTTTAACTTGCTTTTTATTATTTCACACTTCTAAACTGTAAAAACTTCACCTATAAATCTGAAGTATCTATTTTAATAAGACTTGAATCCGAGAAACAACTCATTTTGTCAGCACCGTTCACAAATGCTTCGCCAACATTAGCCCAAGATAATATGGAACATAATAAGACTTCTTTGATCTTGCCTGCGAGGCCCAGACATCTGTATGGGCAACACGATATGCCATAAAATCAAGATGGAAAACTTAAATATTGAAATCGAACTACGCAGTGTCACTAGCCTTACCAGTCACAACAAATTCCCTTTTTATCAGATCCTAGATATCCGCGTTTCTCAACTTTTGGAATGCTTTCTTACAAGTGAACGAAGGATCCGTTTATTCGGCCCACCAACAAAAAAACAAAAACAAACTCCAAACTCACTACAAAAGTGAGTGTTATCGGACTTTTTAAATTAAAAAGCTGAACTTGGCCAAATCTACAAGACACGATAAATAATTTGTCCTAAGCTACTGACCTGCGTTGTATTTCCATTGCAGCACACACTGCGAGCACGTCGAGATTCCCGGAGGCAACCGGACTTGCAATTCATATACCATTGCTTCCCAGCTGCTAATCTGGTTCCGCATTGTAAAGCAAAATCAAATAGAATGTTATGTATAAGCAATGGATTATTTTCTGAGAAAAAAAATTCACATGTCCGTAACCACTTACCCGTTTCGGTTGATAAGTGTGCCATTTCACTTGTATATTTCAAAGGCCGTAGTAATAGAAGGATATTTCGGTGCAAAGCTGTCAGAACTCCCAGATTTAATAAGGCACAGCATTTACAGCACAATAAAGTCATATAAGAGATAAAGATTTGGTGCTACAAGTGAATAAAGAGGCGAGATAAAGATGATAAGATAGATAGTATACAGAAAGAGCAAACACGTCAGGGCAACCGCCAATGGACCAATTAAGTTTTAGTGCTTGCAATATTAGGTCATATAATTTGTCTAAGATTTGGAGTTACAAGAGCTTTTAAAAAAAGGATAGAACGATAGATGTGTGATGGGAAAGGAGAAACTACACCAGAGCACGTGCAAACATCTTCCATTCCTGGGAGTCATTAGGTTTTTAATGAAAGCTTGGATTTAAATGCACAGAGAACAAAAATATACACGTGGAATTGAAAATGAATTATTTCCCCATTTCTTTGCCAATATCAATAACTCTGTATGACAAAAAAAATAGACTAGCATCCGATTCCTTTGTCGTGTCACGTGGAAGGAACGATGTACGAGTGTTTGCGCGAGAGCGCTATAACAAAACCACTGTGTCGGAGTATGATTATGATTTAAGTGTCTACGTGCGTGAAATGTTCAAATCCTTACATTGTAGCGTGTGTACCCTTTCGGGGACTCCAAGAGGTTCATATCCAGACATTCCTGGGTCACCGGTTTGTGTATGTCGTTGTTTGGACACAGACGGAACTCGAACCAGCCCAAATGGCTCGTGGTCAGATCAATATAAACGTTGATTATGGCCCCTTCCGTGTAATTCCGAACGATGATTCCGTTGGCATATTTCCCACCCGCCTCGTTGTCCCGCTGTCCGTCGTATGGGTCACCACACACACCGCAGAGCCCTCCGTTTTGATTCCATTGACGCTGAGGAAGATCGCATCGGATAATAGAACACTTTTGTAGTGTTTTTTAACCCTCTAGTTTTAGAGACTATAAGATTATACAAGTGCTGATATTGGAAGTGTTACTCGAGAGTATAAAAAAAGAACATGAGGAAAGATAAGAACCATGTTTGATAGAAAAGTAGAGAAGGACGATGCGCTGATAGAAAAGGAGAAGTAAACCACACCTTGGTCCCCGTCAACCAAACCACTTGGCAATTCTAGTTCATCTTAATTTGCTGCATTCAAAACCATTTCCGAAAAGGGCTTGCATCTTAAATGTTCACCATACGGGTGAATATGCGAGCCCATCTCCCCGCTTTCCGCTGCGTGTACTAGTGACTGCTTTGAATATGTGGGGTTGGAGTGGAGGTGGGAAAGATTTGGGGGGAGGTGGGAAAGATTTGGGAGTGGTGGGGGGGGGGGAATCTTATCTTACGAGTTCAATTTATAGATAATGGGGAAATTGTGGCAAAACATCCATCGTACAACCATGAGGATAACTTCAAAGACAATTCGCAAAAAAAAAGAGCTTGAGAAGGTCTTTTTTGAAAAGTAATCGACGATAACCTTTATGCAATGTGGGGATTAACCCAAGAAAAAAAGCTTTCACACAAATATGGCCAAACTTGAAAATCTTCCATGAGTAAAACAATGATAAAAAACCAAGATAAGATATGACTTACATCGAATCCACCACAAAAAAGTTGGTTGTCGTCATAGTTTATTGGGTTGTTATAACCATATCTCCACATGCTGGATCGACCTGGCGGTTCTATGAGTCTTCCATGGCCTCGAACTTTGACAAACAGCACCGTTGCTAAGGTTACGATTTGGAGAAAGCGATGCGTAGCCATTGGTATGAATTTGCACTCTGAAATAAAGGGAAAGGTTATTTTCGACAGAAAGCATGACGTAGTAGCACTTCGTTGGAGGAATCCGCAAGGATTTGTTCACATTTCTGCTCAGAATATTCTAAATTAAAGAAAATTAAAGACAAAATAAATCTCGGTCTTTGCTTCGTCACAAAATAGTATAGTTGTGTCAAGACGCAGTGGAATCGAGTGCTAGTCAATTTTTGAGCTTATGGGGATATTGGCAGTATTTTAAGATCGTTCATATATCTGGTTTTTGGGCGTTTTTTAAAATCACCATCTATCATAAATAGAAGTCGAGATGCTAGAAATAGCAGGTTGGAGTCACCTGATGTCCAGAGGTAAAATTTAGAGAAAAAAATAAATGGCTTCAAAATCTCAAGTGTCCTTGAAAACTGCCAAATTTGCATTTTTGTGCCTTTGATCACAGTTTTTTAAAGGACATAAAAGGTTAAGCCAAAAAAAATAAAAAATCCAAACCAACAAAATTGTCCAGTGGTCAGAAAAATCCTATTTCTTGGATTTCATTATTTTGACGAGCGCCCGATTCCACAGGAGAACAAAATCTGCACATAATATTTTGCGTACGATGTTGAATCGCTGCACCACAACGTTCAAGTCACTCGTCTGTTCAAAATCTGAATAAGTTAATTGTTCCTACAATTTCGCGTCTTTTGTCGGTTTTTATTCGTGGCAAGACGTTTGAGGCCTGTATATCGATTCTAGTGTAACAAAATCTGAATGTCATACTATTCCTAATTTTTAGTGACCATCCCCCACTGGCTTCAGCAATAGTCTTGGTTCTTTTTACATTCCGTGAAATTCTCGACAGTCAGAAGAATCCACAGTTCTGTTAGTTTATTTTCAATGCCTTATACAATTGGCACAACAGTCAAGGCATTACCGAACGTTGCATGAGAGAGAAATAATCTTTTAATTCAAATGTAAATTTTTCTAAAATGCAGGCCTTGCGTAATGAGCCATTTCGAACCTATCGTCCCTATCTCTCCTCGTGTCCATAGTTGGAAAAAAAATGAAAAACATGTTCGCTACAAACTCTTAACCTCTTTCGTTTACAAAACCAATGATAATCATAAATTATAATAATAATAGATAGCATTTGTATAGCGCATATCCCCGCTCAACAGCAGGCTCTATGCGCTTTACACTATATTATAATCATAACAGTAAGTCAGAAAAAAGCGGTAAGGTAGTGAGCTCTAAGACTGGAATGTTCGAGATACTGTGCAATATTTGTAAATAAAATCTGGGTAAGGTGCGAAAATGTTCTAGATCTAAGTCCTGTATTTTTTAAATCCCAATATACAATTTGTTTTAACAAAATCATTTGAGAACATTGAACGTTACCATAGGTCATGTAACTGCAACGAAACAAAAAACAAAGAGTCTTAGTAAATAAATTTGAACAACTGGCCAATGGATCTATTTTGTCTTCTTTCTACCCACCAACACTCTACTATCGCATAATACTTTAGAAACGATCAGGCGAAAGTTAAAAAAGAATGCTTAAAATAACTCACCGAAATCCTACTTATCGAAACAGCAGTTAGCCAGAATTCCCTCTGCTTGTCAAATAAGAACTGGGGTACAGAAAAACTAGAGTACTGTGCGTATTTATACTGTGCCAAGAACAAGGAACTTAACATAACGTTGAGTATTGCACGAGTTTCTTGATATCTTTGAAACTCACTCCATTCGCCGAATACGCAATTGCAGGGATCATGCAACTGACATGTTAAGTATGGCCACGACGGAATTATCAAACAGTTATCTCATAATCTTACGTTTAACCAAGTCGTGGCAGTCCATTTAAAAAATAAGCCTTTTTCAAATAATATGTTTGACTCCCCATAAGTTAGACTAGCCAAAGGTCGGTAAAGGAAGACATACAGGTGAAGAAATGAAAATAGATTGGCTACACCCCGAGGAGACCCCGACAAGCATAATCATACAGGCTTTGACGTGGAATCCACAAGGAAAACGTAATATAGAAAGACCAAAAATGACATGGAGGCGAGAGGTACAAGTGGAAATGGAAAAGGCGGGGACACCATTGAAACAGTTAGAAAAGGATGCACAAGACAGGCTTCGTTGGAGAAAAGCTGTTGATGGCTTATGCTTCACTGGGAGTTAAAAAGGGCAAGAGAAAGAGGGAGATTCGTTAGACTTCGAGTTAATCCAAACTAAGATAGACAACATAAATTAGTTTGTCTTTCGATCATCTTTTAAAACGTGTAGCATCATAGTTATAATCGTTTTGTCCCCAAGACGAAGTGCCTTTTTCATCTTTATAAGGTGCAATAGTACGTTAGTATATTTAGAGCCCATTCCAAAATTATAACAGCTAGAAATTAAACTTATTATCATTGTTTCATGGTTTAAAGCAGTCTTGATTTTGGCTCATAACAAAGAGAAGTAATTCCTTGTAGCCTTATATTAAATCTGGCTCCTGTAAAAATGAATTCTCTGATTAAGCTAAAATTTCTCACGAACATTTGATAAAGACATAGAAAAAAGGTCATTCATATTTATGGTCCGATTCCAAATATTATTATTCACTATCAATAAACTATTAAAACAAGTTAAATGTTAAAAAAAACCTGGATTATTAAAGTGTATTAAACAATATTCCCCACCCCCCAAAAAAAAGAGCCGTTTTATTTCCAAGAATGACGACCTTTAACAAAAACGTCCGCTTTTGCCAATGTATTTTGTCAATCTTTCCGACGATCTTAAGAGTTGCCATTTTATTAGTACAACATTATTCCTTTTCAAGCACGAACCTGAGGCAATGTTGAAGACATTTTTGTGAAGAGAGATAAAACATAGCTTTAAAAATCCGTTAGTGTCCTATGTATTGGTTGTTTGTTTACCAGTTAAACGATTTAAATGATGGTAGCCAAAAGAGGATAGGTTCTAAAAGCCAAAATATCCAAGAGTTAAAAAATGCACACGATTCTTATGTCGTCATAGGGGGCTCTCGTGACCTAGAGGTTAAGGTGGTAAGTTGGCCTTTCATTCAAAGGTCCCGGGTCCGAATCCGGGTGGCAACCGAAAAGTTTTCTTCTCTAAAATTGTCTCCTTTCACCTCCTTTCCTGCTCTCTAGCAACGTTCTGTCGTCTGCTTTCGTCTCCTCTTTCTGCCCCCACCCCCTTACCTCCTTTGCCCCTTCCTCTGGGCTCTTGATTCTGCAGCTTTTCTACTGCTACTCCTTGGCTCCTTCTTACTGCTGTCTTTTAGCCTCACCCCTGATCTTCTGATAGGAAAGATCTACACCGAGCCTTCTCGGACAAGGGCGAAAAATCTCGGAGGGCCCGTGTGCAAGTTGCGCATGTTAAAGATCCCTTGGTGGTCTAAAATCGATAAGAGTAGGTTTCGGCGGCCACGTGACAAAATTCAAAATTTCCTACCAACTGAAAATATTAGGTGTGTCCTGTGAGCTCATATGACCTTGTGCAGTTGCGAGCGCCGTAAAACACTTACCAAAAAAAGTACTGTCATAGAAGTAACGTTTGATTCTTTATTTAATTGATCTTTTGAAGTATCAAGTGAGAAAATCAGAAAATTTAGTTACAAGTAAGGATATTCTCAAAGTTCAAGCGTCAGGATTGAGTTCTCTTTTCCCGGGCAAGAAGGCAATTCTTTTTATTTTTGTTCTGCCTTGCTGACAATTCACGTGGAGACAGCACAGAACAATCCAGTGGGTGAGTACAACAGTGGAGGCTATTTCTTGTCAAGCCCGAATCTGAGGCAATATTGCAGTAATTGTTGGGAATTGTGATAAGCGTGGTGACAACCTGCTGAGGAGGGTGCGGTGGCGGAGCGGTTCGTGCGCTCGTCTCGGAAGCGGAAAATCTGGGTTCGAGCCTCGGTTCCGACACGGAGTTTTTTCGCCCCCTCCTGCCCACCCAGTGAGTAGTAACGGGTACCTGACTTCGGGTTCGTGAAGTAAAGGCGGCGTGGAAAGGAACTGGCCTCCCTACCACAATATGCCGAAGGCCGAGGAAGTTGTCTCACTAACAAGGCAATCCCCAATGTCCGGATCGGATACGGGAACAACTGGTCGCTTTAAAGGACAAGCGGGCTAACAAAGATTTCAGGGGTTTTCAGAAATCTTGACCTACACCAAAGGTGGGCATATCCCTACCTATAGGAGAAGTTTAAATTTCACTGGTGTGTATATTTGTTTGACTACAGGGATAATTATTCTTGCCTTTTATAGAGACTGAACAACGGGCAAAAAATTTACCTTCGTTAAAAAAAAATAATTTCGGGTTAGCCCCCAGGTGCTTAAAAGCGACCAACTTTACTTTATACCTGCTATTAAGCTCTCAACTTTTTATTTCAACGCTGTTTAAAAAAAAAACAACAACAACGACAACAACAATTAAATTGAGTAAAATTTGAGTAAAAGCAGTGATCGTGGACTAGTGTGAAGAATGTATACGGTAAATCGGGAAAAATAAATTCTATAGATCTAAGGCATCATTTTTGTTTACCAGTTGTGGAAGAAGTCAGCATTATCGAGAACCTCCATCTTTGTGCTGAGCTGCAGAATCCCGCTCAACACGGATGTATAGATAGATAGATAGATAGATAGATAGATAGATAGATAGATAGATAGATAGATATACACTCTATCAAGGCCAGTAAGACATCATGATAACATTTCTGTGAGTGGTTCACAATCACGACAGGAACAAATTGATTTTTTTAAAGCTCCAAAACTTACGGGAGAAAGGCAGAACCAACATATTACTTTATTAGCTTGCTGTTAATAACAGACAATCTTAGGTTTCCGGAGTGGGAGGAAACTGAAACATATTTTCTGGTCTTTCAGAATTGCTCTCTTCTTTACGTTTATATCTATGACTTCTGTACACCATCATTGTAGATTTGGTCTCCTTTTTTAAAACCTCACCCACTTTTAATCTGATAGTACTTTCCGATCAGGTCAAGCAGTCGGCACGTTGATTTGACCACAATAAATCTGTCTGTCCCAACCATTAATTTAGTGACCACATCAGCATCCTGCCGAAAAGGACCTGACGCACATGTCTTTGCTCCCCTACTGTGTTGTCTTATCTTGCAGTCCAACACCCCACCCATTAGTGTGCCACACCTTTGATTACACTATTACTCCGTTCTGAAATTCTAGACAGGAGGGGGAAAATGAACCAGTGACAGCAACACCACAACAACAACAATAAAAAAAACTGAAACACTAAAACAAACAAAACAAACAATAAGTAAAAAGAAGAAAAAAAATAAAATAAAAACATAGAATAATTATTGTCTTATTAGGTACACAACACTAGGAAAACTATGAGGTTTGTTTTTGTTTTGGTAAGTGTTTTATGGCGCTCTCAACAGAATAAAGAGTCTCCAACAACAACACCAAAGTAACGTCGGCGTCTGTGGTATAGCGGTTAGCTCTGCGCTCTCGCACACAGGAAAAATGTGTTCGAGTCCCAAGTGAGGAAAAAATAATTATCGTGTATCCCGGTTTTTCTACTGGGAGGTGTGGGTTGGCCCAGATAGGTGGGGTTCGAGGCCTGCCTCCTATATTAACTAACTTGTGTGAAAAGCAGGGTAAAACATTGTATTTCAACCTCCCTCGCCTCCTGATTGTGTTTTTGTTGGGATTTTTGTTGGAAAGGGGGTGAGGGGGTGGGGGGTGGTGTTGTGCTGTTGATCAACGACTTTCAGTAAAATCCTCGCAGAAGTGCCATTTTCGATTGGCATAAAATATACCTAGCCCGAATATAAAAAAATGAGAATAAAATTACTCATCTGTGGGAAAAAGTCGGTTTCTTCGATTTCATTATTTTTTACCAGCGCCTGATTTCACCACGACGTTGCACATATATTCGTAAAGCTGAGCGCATTGACCTGACCTCAGAAGTCCTCAGAAGAAAGAAAGTAAAAAAAATAAAGAAACCAATAAAGTGAACCCGATTCTGGAAGACAATTTGGGTGTTAAAGGGTGGTGGGGCACCTAAAAAATGTGTTTTTGGGTGAAATTATGAAAACTGGGGTTATCACTTATTTTATTTTCTAGGTATTTCGTGAACAATGTCCAAACATGTATGTAAAGGGTTTCTGTATCCTAAAGTGGTGTTTGAAGGCATTTTAGAGCAGACGGTAGGGACTTTTTTTGAGAAAAAAATTTTATACCATGTTTTGCACCGCTTATATGCTTCAGTTTTGGAAAGAAACCTCCCTTCTATTTCTGCGGTGTTAATATTATCAAAATAGTTGCCATGTTTTAGTTTGAAATATGTTGTGAATGTTTTTACTGGAAAGAGAACTATTTTGGCCTTTTCTGACCTTTACCGGCCGTTTTCTCAAAATGCTATTTTCACGCACTTTATCCCATTTTTCTTCTTTGTTTCTGATTCGATTTTAATGTAACTTTCCTTTCACGGAATGTTAACAACACCTTGTTCTAAAAATTGTATTGAGGATATTTTTTCAATTTAAAAATTTAACTTTTGGTAAATGGCCTCCAATAGTTTGATTTTTTCGGGGTTTTTTCGCAATTATGCAATAAGCCGATTTTCAAGTGCCAAAATGAAAACTAAAGCATATATTTATAAAATTCCTCAAAACAATTTTTTAGATATCTTCTTTTGCTACATACATGCCAAAACATAAGTGTATTTGTTGATAAACAATTAAATAAAGGGGAATCAAAATAGATATACAAAATCCAATATGGCCGCCGGTTCCATGGTAACCGAACAAGATTTGCTTGTTTAAAAAATAGATTTTAAATTCAAAATGATACATGATGTCCCACAGAAAAATTGGCTCTCTGTGGTTTGTAATAGCCGAGATAACCTTCAGATGTCCCACCATCCCTTAAATAAGAACATCGATATCATCACCATTGCCTTTCTCACCCTGGATCAGGGTAAAGGCCACGAACAAACACTTTCCATCTTTCCCTATCCTTGGCTAATCGCTTGATGTCACTCCGTGTGTTCCCACTTTTCTGTACACCCATTTCTAGGAGTCTTCTCCAGGTTCCACGTGGCCTTCCCCTTGATAGTTTACCCTGTGGATTCCAATCTAACACTTTCCTTGTTATACAGCTGCTTGACTTCCTGAAAGTGTGTCCAATCCATCTCCAACACCTGCTTCCCATATCATCTCTGACCGGGCTCTGTTTTGTTCTTCTTAATACTTCCTCGTTGTTGATCCTGTCTGTCCATCTGACCCTCAGTAGCTTCATCTGACACTTGTTTTTAAAAAAACCTGGATCCTCTTTATGCACTTCTGATCGACATAACTAATGTGAACTAGAACGGAGAAAAGGAAGGATTGGTAGAAAGACACAAAAGAAAAAAAGTAGGACAAACAAGAAGCACCCTCCAACCACCTGATATAAGACAGTAGACAGATATTGTTGTTTTGTTATTATGTTAACGCCCATTATCATAATTTTTTTTTAAATAATTTTTTTTGACTTTGTTGCAATGTTTTTGTCGGGGGAGGGGGGACTCGACATGTTTCGTTGTTGTTGTTTTTTAAATTTTGTTTTATTGTGTCGGATTTGTCTATTTGGTCGTTGTTGTTTGATTTTTTTTTTGGTTTTTTTGGTTTCATGTTGTTATTGTTGCTAGT